ATCTTTAACTGTCCTTTCGTCTAGTCAAAATTACTGTACAAATATCTCAAATTCCCACTATCCAAAATGAAATTATGCCTCGTTGGAAAGACGTTGTTGATGTCCAGAACGTTAATGCCGCAGTCAAACTTAGCGTTTAAATGTTAAAACGGCGTGCCATATTAGTAGGATCTATGGTAGATGTATGGTAGATCTGTGGTTGAGTCACGGATCATATAACATGTTTTTGGGGCATCCGTAAATTCGCGTCCTGTTTTGTGACGTAAACTTGTGACGTAAATCGCGCCTATTGAGACCTGTGATTAGTCGCACGTGCTGCTGCGCTCAAACGGTGTGAGGGTCAGCAGCTACACGTCTACTGTTCTACACTTACTCATTTTGCGTCTCTGCTGCTGAGGGAGCACCTGGCATTCATCTCCTGAAATGGAAAGCCATAGTGAGTATCTAAAACTATTGCTTTATTTGATTAATTTATTTTACTGGTGGGTCATTCCACACCCAATCTCCGAATGCCCCGAATTACCATGTTTTTGGTATAACATGGTAAACATGGCACCAAATTTATTTTATTCAATTTTTAACATGTAATATCTTCTAGAGCGTTCATCACAGAAGCTCAGTTTTAAAATTCCAAGTACACGGCATGTGTGGGAAGGTGTATGTTCAATACCAAACCTCTGTCTTTGAAACTGCACTTTCCACAGTCCTTCAAAGATAAGATAAGATATGCCTTTAGATGCCCTCACATTTGACGAGTAGAATTTTTGAGCAAAGTCAAGCCCCCAGAAATCTGTGATAAATCAAAAGCACATATGTAAAAGTCCATATTCTACAAGTACGTTTGCCAAATTTTAACCCTTGAAATTTTGAAGGATTTACCTTTTCTTCTGAAAGTGGCTCCTTGGACAACTCTGCTCAAAACAGGTTGGGGGGAGATGACAAAATATTTTTTTACTGACAAAACTATAAAACTAACTAAAATTTGAGACTTTTCCTATTGGAAAGTGTGTGAACCTCCTAGAATTTTTTCAGTCAAGTCTGAAATGGTCAGGCGGGGGCATTCGGAGATTTGACGTGTAATGACCCTGGTGTAAATGTGTCTTTTTCAATCATCAGAGGGTTCAAGTCACATTGAAATCTTAGAAACCTCAATTCACAATTTCATTGATGGGAAAATCAAAGATGGAATTTCTGTGGTAAGCCTGACAGCTATATTTAAATATAAGTGTAATTCCGTGGTAAATATGTAAAATTTCAGCTATATTTAAATATAAATGTAATACTTTTAATTTTTTGTGGCTGTTTACAATTTGTTGTGTTCAGGGCAGTGAAGTTCCTTTCTATGTGGTCAGTTTGGATGATGTCTATGAGAAGTATGTTCAATGGCAGACTCTTTTGCCCAGAGTAAAGCCTTTCTATGCAGTCAAGTGCAACACCACACCAACAGTGATCGCGACACTCAGAGCACTGGGGGCAGGCTTTGACTGTGCCAGCAAAGTAAATATTTTAAACCTATTCACATGCACCTCACTGTTCCCTTTTTAAAACCCATGCTGTGTATCAGAGGGAGATTGAGACGGTCTTGTCTTTGGGGGTGACCCCTGACAACATAATTTACGCTCCCACATCAGATACGCCTGTGCGTCAGAAGTGGACATGATGACTTTTGACTGTGAGAAGGAGCTCCTCAAGATCTCCAGCTGTCCCAAAGCAAAGTAAACATATTCTTTAGATCATCTTTGTTCATGTAACACCCATTTTAAGTCCAGTTTAAAAGAATCATTATCTTTCCAGACTGCTGCTCTGTATTTCAGTGGATGACTCCAAATCTCTTGTGAAACTAAATACAAAGTTTGGAGCCAAACTCTATGCTGTTGGAGACCTGCTGAAACGAGCTCTAGACCTGCACTTAAACGTCACTGGAGTCAGTTTCCATGTTGGGAGTTTATGCACAGACGGTGAACTGTACAAGATGGCCATAGCAGATGCCCGACTGGTCTTTGATCAAGCCGTAAGTAATGAATTCGATGGATACACTGCACTAAATAACACAAGTATTGTAATCTCCTGTTTACATGTTTGGGATAGATTTTAGACCTTGTGCTTTTCTGGTGTTTTTCTGTTGACATGAAATTTGGACAAGACTGTCAGTTTACACATCAACTGTGATCAGGAAAACACACCATTCATGCCGATCTGCATTTACATGAAAATAATTAGATGTGAGGAGATACTGTTTTAGTTGTGAAAGGTTGTAGTGCATGCATTTGTCCAGCAAACAGCAGTGTGCTCATTACTGATGCACTGCAGGAGTCTTTCCTCCTGTTTGCAACTTTGTGATAACCTTTAGACCTTGAGCATTTCTGGGGCAATGCTGGCTGACTTCAAAGCAAATGTACCACAGCCTTTCACACCTAAAGGAGTTTGTCTTCACACCTCATCGTTTACCTCTAAATCCAGACTGCATTAGGCATGAGTGGTGTGTTTTCCGGACCACAGTTGCTGTATAAAAAGGGCCTGAATACCAGTGGTCCTCAGGCCTGGGACGTGTTGGAAGTACTGTAAAAGTCATGTACTAGTACAGTGCAGAATGTGTGGGGTACAGGCAGCAGTGCGACTGCAGAAAAGAAACTTCTCTCCTTTGTCTTGTGATCATCTTTGTACCTTTTCAGAAAAGCTTGGGAATAGAGATGAAGCTGCTGGATATTGGAGGTGGTTTTAATGGAAAGACAAATTTTCCCATTACTTTTCAGCAGGGTAAACAAAAACGCTGGGAATAAATGAAGCGTTGGATGAATTCTTCTCCAGTGACAGTGGAGTGTGTATTATTGCTGAACCAGGCCGCTACTTTGTGGACACAGGCTGCACTCTGGCTGTAAACATATTCGCCAAAAAGACTGTCGACTATGATCTAACTCAAAGCAATGGTACAGTGCTTAATTTTATATGTGAAAGATGGTTCCTGATTAACAAAACAGCTTTAGGGAATATACCAAATGCCATTACTTTAATAAAAAACATTTTTTTCAGAAACTGGGAAATGCTCAGGTAAATCAATGATGTATTACATCAACGACGGAATCTATGGCACCATGAGTTTTAAAATATATCACGCTGAAGAGTACACATTTTCTCCTTTCCTTCAAAAGGTAACATTCATACACATTTTATACCATGTCTGTGTTGTATTTTTTTATAATGTGTTTCTTATAATTTAGGTGAAAAAGCCTAGATTCCAGTCTATTATCTGGGGTCCCACCTGTGACAGTTTAGACAGACTGACTCAGGCCTTATGGATGCCTGAGTTACATGTTGGAGAATGGCTCCTGGTTCACGATGTTGGTGCATATTCAATCAATATGGCAAGTGACTTCAATGGATTTGAAAAGCCTCACATTTACACTGTGGTGACTGCTCAAACCTGGGACATCCTGTCTCAACATTTTAAATAAGAGACGTCAGAATTTACTTGCATCTTTCTTTTTTTAAAAAAAAATACTATTACCACTATTATTGTTTTGTATTATTGTTTAAGCATTCCCATTTAAAGATGTTTAAATATTAATATATTAAATATTATTAATAATTACATATAATAATAATATTATAATATTAATAACTAGATTGAAACTCAATATCAATATTGTCAGTACACTTCTGTAGAACTCAAGAAACAGCTTTTATGGATTCTACCTTTTGATGTATTTTTTATTGCTGACACCCAGACCCATACTGTAAATTCAATAATAACCCCACACAACATGAAGATGGGAGTTTATTATTGAATTTACAGTATTGGTCTGGCCGTGTACTTTTTTTTTTTTTTTTTGCCATTGTATTTTTATCTGTCATTTGGATGTTGTAGACATATCTGTGGGTAGTGTGTGTATGTAGATTGTATCTTCTTGCTATATAAGCATTTTTTATATCATGCCATATATGATTTTAGTTTTTAGTGTCCTAATTATCATGTGAATGTTGCATGTCTATATACAAACATTTTTTATTTTATGCCTAGAAGAAGGCCCCCGTGCGGCCGAAATGCGCAGGTTAATGTAGTTTTCTTTTTAAAGTGCTTCTTTAATGTAGTCGGGAGTGTCTCGTCTTTTTTCTCTTTGCTGTCTATAAGAGACGTTTGCACTGCGATTCTGAAGAGGACCTGACCTGATACTTCACCCACCCAATGAAGCACTCATCTTTCTAATCATAGAATAATCTAATCCATCAGTTGGATCCATCGAAATTGACTTTTTCCATTCATCAAAAACAAACCTGGAGATGTATTTTGCTTCATTCCCGCTTGTTTCATTGATTCATTAATCCAAAGTTGTCTTCTCCGAGCACGCAAAAATGCTCTGTTCGCCCACTAAGTTGCAGTATAAAGAAAACAACAGACTTCATAAACCATCGGACTCGTTCTTTAATTCATTAATGTATTTTCCCATTGTTTATTCCTCTCCTGGAATCTCCAACACCTAAATGCCTCATTGGAAACGAAGAGGAAGTTTATAAAGAAGTACATTTTCCAATTATAGACTGGTTAAGTTCTGACTATTAACCATTTTAATTCCTGTTCATGTCAGGTTTAGTCCTGTGAGACAACTGCGTTTGTAAAGTTTTACATTGAGAGAGCGGCAGCAGGGTACAGTAGCGTGTGAGTCTTAAGTCTAAGTGTAAGTTGAGGGCACCATTTTAACGCAACTACAGCCAAACTGAGATTTATTATGGGCATTTATATCCGGGCCTCATCTATTTAAATTACTAAGTTATATTATAATATTCAATAATAGAAAAGCTGCCGTGGCCTAAGATATAATGTCTATTCTCGACTTGACCACCAGATGTCGTTGTCCTACTGCTGTGTGCCCGCCCGCTCTACTGTCCGTGACTCCAAGCTTCCACCGAAGCCACAGAGCAATAGATCCACGCTTGACAGACGCACAGGAAGAGCCATACGCGCACTGGTCACGCCCCGGTCATGAATAATTCAACACCTCCTGTCGAGGCGAGAGCGGAGCAGGCTCGTGTCACCGGAGCTCCTCAGACGTCAGCCCGTGCCATTCTCACCGGGGAAATCAACAATAATGCTCACAGGATATTTCGCCGTTTGTCTTCGAATGTGGGACTATCATTTTCTGTGATGAACGGAACGAGGGAAGTGCGGGAATTCGTTTATCTACAGCTCGTGGTTTCCACTGAGAAGGGCACGCACTGAGGGGGTGATATTAACCCGACCGTGACCTACCTTTTATCTTCCGTCTCACAATACCGGGCGCTGCTGCAGCTCTGAGGTGCGTCTGGTGGATTTTTTACTTTCCAAAAACGATCCAAAACGTGCCGTAGTAAGACGCGTGCGCTTGTAGATGCTCCCTGTGGCAGACACGCCTCTAACCTTATAGAAACGCGAAAAGAGCGTGTAGTAATCATTATCCTCTGTATCCAGTGGTATCATCGCAATGCTATTTTCCTTGTTTTTTAGTCTAAGCTGTTTGAACGTGTCATCTTGCGATCTGTCCAAGCTACAGTCCACTGTCCAATCAGCTGCTGGGCTAATGACACTGTAGTAAAGGCTATCAGGTCAAAGATAAGAACATTTATGAGTATTTAGGCATATAAATTACATAAAGGTACACAGGATCCGTTTTCCAAGTGAGCACTATTTCATTAAAGCACACCATTGCAGACATTTGATACTGGGGCGTGTATTGTCTTTGCTTTGTGGTTTTACAGTAAACATGCACAGACATCCCATGCTGACTTCTGTAAAGGCTTCTTGGCTCTATCCTCCTCTCCTCATTGAACGTCGTGTGGAAGAGTGATTGCACTTTCCCGCCCTCCTCTCGTTGTTTTCTTCGCATTTTTCACACTTTTGGCTCATGATTCAAAGTGCTTGTTCTTCAGTGCTCGTCTCCCCGAGCCAGCTGGTGGTTAACAGTTGTTTTGGCAGGAAACAGAAATCCTTTGTGTGGAATTGAGAGGATTATCTCTCCATAAGGAATTTGTGTCATTAATCTACAGGCTATCTTCTGCTTTGGATCGATTAGATGAGGTATTTTTTTCAGGTGCCTTACCAGTTAATTCACTCACTGGTGCCATGTTTGTTATGTTGACACACCTGCAGAATTGTGAATGAGCAAGTTCATGATGTGTTTGAACCCTGCCCATCAAAGGTTAGCCTACCACAAGAAGGTCCCATAGAAGTCCTTTTAAGTGGAAAAATGTTCTGTCATCAGGTAAATTATTTACAGGGCAGGTTTGGTAGATTTCTCCTTTTCCTTCTTTGAATTTTACTAGACGTTTGTGGTACAGATGGGTGTAATCCCATGTTAATCTGCCTAGCCCATGCATTCTGGGTTTATCACTACAGCGATTTACGGACCTCCTACTATGTCCATCATTAGTTTAATTAGATCATTCAGTGAGTCAGTAGCGCTAATTAAAACAATACCAAATATATGGGGTCAGTTACTTGCTGCATTTACATTTGTACCTTACTGAATAATTTACTTGACCAGCTAGACTCTTTTGCATTCTGTTGAAATCCAGAGGGGTCTGGAACTGGACCATAGTGCGTGAAAACGTCCATCCTAAGGTGGGACAGGCCTAGATAGGCTGGTGCCACCTAGTGCCTCCGCTCAATTTCATTTCTCTCCAGCGACTAGGTCAGGAATCAGAATACACTAGACTATTCGCAAAAACCCCGGAAGTGCGAGTTCGGGCACCAGCCAATTAGCGAATAGTCATACATTCTGTGTTGGCAGTGATTTCCGAGATTGAGGATTTAAAGCTGGAACAAAGAGAATGTTTGGTGAACTTTATCAAGGGGAAAGACGGTATTGCCCTTCTTCCTACGGGATTTAGAAAAAGCTTAATATACCAGTTAGCCCCATTAGTGGCACATTACATACGTCATGACCAAATAGCAGCGATTGGTTAAATTAAAAAAAGTACCCGCCTATCATAGAGCGAACAGATCCTAATACTGTAAGGTTAGACAGTTTCTACAAAGTGAAACCGGCTGATGAATCAGGCTAGGGATTGGCCAACCACAGCCGCTAATTTGTAATCATGTGTTCCTCAAATGCAGAGGACATCTTCTCATCAAAATGATTGTATCATTGAGAACAAAATATAATTTAAGTTTAGTATTTTGATAGTTGATTCTGCAAACCACCATTTTTACTGGAACGGTTCATGCGTCTCTCTGATTGGTTAATCTGCTTGTCAATCATGGCCTCTACAATTGGGGAGACAAGGTACAGGTCAAGACTCACTCATCTTTGTAAAGTTTTGTCAAAGTGTGTGGTTCTGGCAGGTATTTAAATAATGTTGACAGACTTTGTGACTTCTCAGGCATAGCCTTTTATTGCTTTTCCAAAAAATGCTCCACAGTATGGCATTTATTTGTCCCAACACATACATAAATAAATGTATTTTTCTCTATGGAGACAAGCAATATTACTTTTATTTTTGCTATACAAGATAGTTTTTGTTTTTAGTGTGTTTAATGTCATACTGACAATCAAATACAGACCCTCCATCACTATGGTCATCCCTCTATTTTTTGCATGACATGCAAAGATGTGCATGACAAACATAGATTTTTATCTTTACTTTACTGTCCAGAAGTCTAAAAGTTAAATTCTTTGAATAATGCACTACATAGACTCTTCTTGCCTTTTGTTTTCTTTGAACTAACCTGAATAAGCAGAATTGCTTTCTTATGAAATCTGGGCGATGGAGCTGTATGTGGACTCATAATGCTGTGTGATGTTGGGATTACAGCAGGTAATGCACATATCATTGGAGCTGTGTGTCAATTTGCAAAGGCCCCTTCAGCAGTTTACCATCCTAAGCAGTTTAATGCATCCCCTGTCACTGTGCTCTACTGTGCCAGGGATATAAGCTTGGAGGCACAACCTGAAATATAATTCAGCCTGTTTACATCAAGGAAACAGCATTTATCAGCAGATGTGCCATGTTCAGCTCTTTCCTGGAGGTATTTTCATGGTATTATGGAATCTTGGGATAATATGGTCTCATGAGTGACAACTTCAGTTACCCTTCTGTGAACATATGTGAGACTAAGACAGCCTGTGTAAAACTGAACAGATGATGATTATCTACACCAGCATTAAATGTTAGTGTAAATAATCTACGTTATTAAAACGTCATTTATTTTCTCCATAATCATCGATTGTCAGATAAATCAAATGGAAACAAAGGACATTTTTAATCTCAAACCAATGTGGTAAATCCAGTTCAGTCAAATTGATTTCGATTCAATCTTTTATCAGTGTAGAGTAAAAACTATAGTTTACAGTAGGTTAACACGTGTCTATTGTAACAGGTGACTTTATCATTATCCCTTTGTTTGTTACTCCACAAAGGAAGTTTCTTTGGTGGCACTAGTTTCCTAAATGTGGACTGGCTGTGTGTCCTGAGCGATTGCAGGAAGTTGGGATTGGCTTCTCTGGGGAAGAGAGATAAGAGTCTAACTGTAGTTGAGCTAAAGGCAAAGTTTCTGCACACTACTTTTGCTAATAACAAAGCTCCATTTGAGAAGTCTACAAACAGTTCTGTATGCAGACAGCTTACATCTGCACGTCTGAGATGCTGTTTGAAACTCTGGTGAGTTTTTCTGTTTATTGCTATCCAAGTTTTTGTGCAGGGGACAAAAGAGGAACTTCCATCAAGTGTTAACGGAAAAGGAACCAGGGTGGCTAGTGTATCCCATCATGCTTTGAAACATGAATGCTCAGCCCTATCAGGAAGTATCCCACCAGTGTCCTCTAAAAAACAGTGTAAGCTGCAGATGTGGGAGCTGCTCATTTGAATGTATTTACATGTTTTTCATGCTGACATTTCTTTCATTCTTTTAATATACAGTTTTGAAACAGGAATGAAATAATCAGTGTGAAGAAAAATAGCTGTGCTTTTGTTGGAAGAGGTTAAAATACACAAATTCTTCAGAGCCTCAAAACCGCGGTGATGGGGTTATATATCGGATTAGAGAACATGCATGACAAACACACGGGGTAAACACACAAGTTCAAACATGTTCAGTGGATTACAGATGTTTCCTTTCTAGTTACTTTACAGCAATCATGTAGAGGGTGAAACCTGGAGCACGAATGACGATTGTGTACTCTTGTTATAATAGCCACATAACTTTACCACAGAAAGAGCTGCATTCTTCCAAAGAAGCAAAAGCATTTACTGGTGGATCGATGTTGCAGTTAAAAAAAAAAAAAAACTTGACTGAGCTTTGTTGTAAATATCTGGATATCATATATGAATATCAAAACTTCCTGCTGAGACGTTTCTGTAGAATAAGCTTGTAAAAACATGTATTCTGCTTGCAAAAACAAGCATACTCTCCTGAAACTTCTCAAGTATCATTCAGAAAACAGCGGACAGAGAGCAGTGTGACTGTGTGAATGTCGAGACAGTAAACATGACTAATAGTTCACAGGCTCACTGTGAATCAGCTCACATATGTCATCCACTCAAGATTCAGTTACACCATCTCAAAAACAAAAAGCAATTCTTTTCGGGATTCACAAAATGTATGTATTGAAGGTCTTCACTCTTCAGCAGTACAGTTAAAACTAAACTCAATACTAGCTTTCTCATGGATAACTTTTAAATCTTGTATTCTGGTCAAAATGTTTAAATATAACTTTGTGCTGTCTGTGGTGGTCTCTGTAATTTCCAGTAGTTGGTGACATCACACATGACTGCCCTGGTTACAGCCTGGTGTTTTGGATTACAAACATTTAGCCGCAGGGGTGGAGTTTAAACTATGGATACCTGTTAAACCAATCACAGTGTTTCTCATACCCCCAGACAGACAGACCCTAACCCTCCTCCCCCCTCACTCTTTCTTTAACCCTTCAGGTAATGCCCTCTTTAGCAACTCGATCTGAAATGTGGGTGTGAGTTTAGGTGTTTTCTGTTCCACTTTAAAATATCGTCTGAAAATACTGATCAAAATGCAAAAAAAGCAAAGCCATAGCTGATTCACGCCTGCTAATGGTGTCCTGTTGTATATTATATAATGAAGAGTTTGTAGGGTCAGATGGAGCGTAACTGAGAACAGATGGTGTGTGTGTGTGTGTGTGTGTCTGTGTGTGTGTGTGTGTACATCCATAGACACACATGAATGAGCGACTCCTCATGTCAGTGCTGCTGAGTCACATTTACTGGCTGCACCGCTCAGCTTTTAGTTTGCCGCAAATTCTCATACTTCCTGTTTTCTTCATTCTTAAGAATCGGGAGTGAATGTGGT